TTAATACTTTTTAATACTTAATCATTATTAAAATTAATATAGAAAATACAATTAAAATCGAGAGGAGATTTTATAAAATAATTTTTAATAATGTATATTATGAATTGAATGAATATCAAAAATATACCAACATGATTCATATAATATTAGTAATAAATGGATTTAATTTTTTATGTAAATTAAATAATTTTATCTATTTAAATTTACATAAAAATACAATGGATTAATACGTAAAGATAAATTTGATATAACTTGAAAAAGTAAATGAAATAGAATATGAAATTTCACTATCACATAAATAATAACATTTTAAAAGTATAGAAATATAAAATTTATGTTGGTTGGTTATAGTAAAATTAATGTCTTAATGTCTTATATTTTGATTAACTTTATTTTAATTGTTATTTTTTTATTATTTTTACTTGAAGTTTGTTTTTTTTATTGTTCAAATAAATCTAAATTAATTATTTTTAATACTTAATTAATCACAATTTTCATAGATTTAACATTTTTCTTACTATTATATTACATGAAGCGATACAGTTACTAAAATAATTTTATCGCATCCCTGGACGTAAAGGTAAAATATAAGAAAGTGAACTTCTTTCTCATTTACTCATACATGCATAAATTGGCATACGGTCTTTCTTTGGATGATGTGTCAAATTCTTATCAATAATTTATACCATGTCAACAGTATAAATGTTGCGTGGACCTCTTCAAGAGGATTGCCAGGTCCTTCTTGTTGCACTAGTTAGAGTATGTAACATCAAACCAAATTATTTAGGCCAAATATCTTACTTGCCCCCTAAACATTTTTTTTTCTACAACCAGTACCCTAAAATAATTTTCTTATCAGTTAACATCCTCTATAATTAAAAAATCATGAATAACCCAAAAATTAACGAAGATGTCATGTGCCTCTCATGTAAACATTAAATTCTGTTAATGTTTGATGACATGTCAAACTTTTGGTGATGTGTATGAACTTCATATGACAAAGCATATAAGTCTTGGTCCTCACTAGTACCACCACCGAAACTGCCCTCAAATCCCTTATTTCTAGGTTCTCATTAGCCTTTGTTCCCCTTAAGCTCTACTGCTGTCACTGCTGCTCAAGACCCACTTCTCTTTCCTTCTCCACAAGAACCACCCCATTTCAGCCATATTATTCATTAAAGACAAGCTTTCAAATGCAACCCTCTCCTACTTAGACTTTGGTGGCAAGCTCTAAATTGCTATAATTTCCACTCTCACCTTCAATAAGAAAGCCATCTTCTTCACCATCTCTTGCACTTTCACCCGCAAATAAAATTCATGATTTGATTCAATTTTTGAAAATTCATGATTAAATAGAAAAAAAAATATAATCATCCAAAATCAAAGAACCCAAGGATAGTGAATGAGTGAAAGGAAAGCCTTTCAAGGAGATGTACAAAGGCTGGTAAGACAGAGAGTGAAATAGGTTGTAGGTTGATTGTCAATAAAAAGAATCAAAAAAGGTGGGTTAGAGCCCAATGGAAATGATCTAGATTCTAGAGCCCATTCCTTTGCAAACCCTAGATCTTCATTTCTCTATTTGGGAGAGAAAGATGGATTGGAGCCAAATGGAGCAAAGTTGA